GTCGAATTAGCTAATAACTAGCTCCCAAAAAAGAAAGGAGAAGTAAAAAAATATAATATATGCTTACCTCAAGAATCAAACTTGTGGCCATTAGGTCCTTCTACATTTGCAATTCCGCTATGCCAATTTCAAATTTTATAATATAATTTGCACGCTTTATATTTTTATTCGATACTTCATGTTTATACGTATTATCCTAAACCATTTACACGTAAGTTCGAGATTCTGTGTGTGTGTGGTGGTGGTGGTGGTGGTGGTGGTGGGGGGGGGGGGAGGGGGGCTCCCCTTAGGGCCAATGTAGAATGTAGCTCCGACCCTGTCTATAACACCAGTTACCATCATGTACCAGAGTGGTATAAGGTAGTATATTTGGTCATGATTTGTTTTCCTTGAATTTTTTAGATAACAATAAATCATAATAAACCCCTTTTATCCGTGCAAATATTTTTTCCCAAAATTTATGTTAAAAATAAAAGCGGTACATAGTAGTAATGGGTGATTTTAATTTTTTTATCAAAATTATCAAAAATATATATCATTTTGTGGATCATAATGAACTCATTTCTTCTTTATAAAAATTTTTAAATCCAAATTCAACGAAAGAAGATACGAGCATATAAAAAAAAGTAAGAAAATAAAATACCTTATAATACCATCTCTACATCTAAACCCACTCAAAATCAGAAAGTCAGATATAATTATGGATATAAACTACCCTAAACCTACACAATCACTTACAAACTTCGTTTGGCAACGAGTTGCCTCCACCATAATCGAATCTCACGACTCACGTTAAAGGATATTCTAGTAATACTTTAAATTCTAGTATTGGAGGAGATGTTTGATAGTTTCTTATATGCGGAATCAAACCCATAACCGCGAGTACTCGATCGCCTCCGACCCAATCAATACGGTGAATCTCCGCATTAATTGGATATGGGTAAAACCCGCAAAAAGTTTGATGGGTGTGGGGAAGGTATGGTTTTAGCCTCCCTGCTCCATACTCATACCCATACCCGTCCCACCAATAACATTTCTTCAATTATGAAAAATACATAGATAAAATTGTAACCTATCAATGATAATGAAGGTCACTCAAGAAAATAAATAGTAGAAATACAATTGAGTGACCATCCAAATCAAAACCTAATTCTTTTTCTTCAATTCTCCATTCATCCTTTCATTTTTCCTCATGTTAACAAGATAATTATGTTAATTAATTATTACTTAGTAAATATATGAGAGTTAGAGAATATTGATTCGGAAAATATCATACTCTATCCTATGGGTTAATGGTTGTTTAGGATCATATAATTTGAAACATATTAAGAATGATTGTATCTTAGTTGACTTCATGATATAGTAGGTTCGTTAGTGTTATAATTCAAAATTTATATGTGAAGTCTTAGGCATAATGATGTTGAATGTACGGGGCGAATATTACCCACGAGTACGGGGATGAGTTTGCAAAACATTCTCCCGCATGGATATGAGGCAGGTACGAGTTTGGATATTTATAAACTGGGATGAGGATGGTTTAGGCAAACCCGCACTATATTGGCATCCCTACAAATTAACAGTTAAGATAAGATGACTTACTCCGTGATTCAACTAAATCGATAATACTAACTTCTTGTCCTGTTATTAACAATCAGTCATGGGGAATGAGGACTTATAGGAGACCAAGCTTAGAGGCGATGGAAGGAAGGGAGCCAGGTTAAGATTGGGTAGACCGTCGACGTTAGAGATGACAATTTGAATCCGCCCCGCCGGGAATTACCCATCCTGATCTACAATAGAGCAGGTAGTACCCAACCCACGGTAGCGTGGTGCAGGGCATATGTATCTACTTTCGACCTGACCCGCCATGCCAACCCCCCCCCCCCCCTCCTTCTTAGCCCATTCTATATTAATTTCTTACAATATCTATTAATATTTCTTCTATTTTGACTTTTCTTCAACTAGTTACACTTGATCTTTCAACTAGCTATACTCAATTACTCATTCTATTATCACTGTCTTTCATTCTTAAAGTGTTTTCCCTTGTTTGATATTAAAAAGTAAATTTTTGCGTGTATTTTCTCAAATAACATGTACAAGTGAATCGATCAGCCCCATCCCGTATCCACATAGGTACCCGCCCCGACCTATACTTAATGCGAGACATGTATAAGTATTGGGGTACCCGCTCCACCCACCTCATTTCCATCCGTAGACGACGACTAGCAAAGGGCATATGTGGATGAAGACTTTTTACGTGAAAAGAGGATCGATTAATTCAATTGTGGGAGGAGGACGCCATTAAGGGTATATCGATTTGTTTTCCTGGTCAACGGTGGATAATATAGTTTGGGTAGATTGGATTGGGTGGCTTGGTTATTTGAATATGGGTGGGCATTTGGTGGGTCGGACGGATTTTGATTATGAAACAGACCCAACCGCGTTTAAAAGGATTGATATTTTACCCACCATCCACCCACATTTAGTTTCGCGTTGGGTCGGGCGATGGTGGATGATGCGAGTGGGTTTGCGTGTTCACCCACATCACAATGTATATAATATAAATGAGACAACTTGACATGATAATCGGTGAAGAGAAAATCGGGCGGTAACAAGATGTCATAGGAAAATAATGTCGAATTAGTTCAGAAACTGGGTAGAAATTTTATTATGGGGGAGTTTTCTACAGATGGAGATGATTATCAAGTGCAGTGAACTAAGGAAAATAATTCAACAGAGGAAAGAGAGGTAATCTAGGCACAAGAATCAAAGGAAAAAATAAAGAGAAGAAGGGAGGATTGTGATTTGGAAGATTGACTTTGAGGTTCAATCTCCAGGAGCAGCCCTAGTTTCCGTCTAACGTCTCAACTCTCCACTCTTCAGCGCCAACGATTTTGTTCTTTTTGCTGTTGGGTTAAGCGGGTCACCCACACACACGCCCACAACCCACCCGCCATCCGGCGGATGACTCCCAGCGCAACCCGTCACTCACCCACAGACCCACCCACATAACGAAATTCACGTCAAATGTGGGTGGGTCGGCCCAAGCCCGCGGGTGATCCGCCCAATGAATAATTAAGTGAAATTTATTATTGGTTTTTAATGAGTTGGAATGCTCGTAGTTAGATTGGGAGAATTTTGGATGAAAATAGACAGAAACAATCGGTTTAATTGACACGTCCCTTATTTAACGGTCTATAAGAGTTGACCGCCAATTAACAAAAATTAACGGAGTCTAATGGTCAGTGACCAAACTTGAACTGTTAACCTAATTTAAGTGACTATGGATGGTATAAAGTAATTCTAGTGGCTAACATGAACTTTGTTAGTAATTCAAGTGACCAAACTTGCAATTTAGCCATTAGAAAAATCATTAGTTAACTAAAGTCAAACTGTCAAGCACATAACATTGAAGAGCTAGCTAAGGTATAGAAATGCTCCATGCACAAAACCCCACCATAGCTAGCTTAGCTAGAGGCTAACAGAGCTCTGTCACTATTTCCTTCTTTGCTTGGCACCCTTTTAATTTCCCCTTTTACCTTCACCCACCCCCTTAAACCAAAGTTATTTAATAGAATACTTGAAAAGCAGAAAGTGATGATACCCTTCACAATTATATATCATGATATTTTTTTAATTGTAATTAACACCAAAGAAGACAAAGAGACAAGAACATATCTTGTTCAATTGTGATTCAAGTTATTCCAAATCACAAAGATTTGTCGGTCCATGATCAGGATTTACTACACAGTGTGGAGAAATATACAGTTCCCACAAGATTTCCATTATTCTTTAAGCAAAGACCACTGAAGAAATAATTTATATCTTCTGAATATTATTAATTTCATCTTAATTCGGGACACGTGTTTGTGTTTGGCTTGCCAGAACATGAAACGAAATGGACGAATTCTATAGACTAGCTAGTGTATCTGCAGAAGGTTGAGGTTCTACTAGTTGAACCAAATTTGAAAGAGTGGAAGAAGTACAAGTGAGGAAGAGGAAGTCAGTTATGCAAAGTCTAGACTACCCAGTTTTAAGATGGATCCTAAGTTAAATGACATGTTGGTGTTTCTAACTTAATGATCATTCGATTCTACACTGTAACTAAAAGTTTCACTACCACTTAGCTTCTTCCTGTGGTCATAGAAGGTTAATCACTGAGCTAATGATTCTTTCCAACATTCTGCTCTTATTTAGAAAGCTGTTGGGCTGCTAGGTAGTTGAATGCATCAATCATCAGCGTACCCAACTGGTATCAGCCTATGTAATGTAAGCCGATCGAGAAGGCACACTTCAAATTCACACCGTACCAGAGATCTAATCCATACCACTCTCAACTTCAACTAGCAAGATCAGTTTGAGATATAGACAAACGAAAAAAACATTCTAGTCATTCCATCCCTAGCTCTTTGGAGCAACACGATCACCAGATTCAATAGTACTAGACTATACAAAACATACATGAGATCATCTATTACCATTGCAGAAGAGGACTGAAACTCAGGATAGATAAATGGTTTTGTTAGTCAAATCAAAATTAATTAAGCACATGATATGTTAATTTTTGTAAATGATTTTTAGAAGAAATATACAAGGGTTAATTACGAGTTTAATTTCCTTAGCAATCCTAATACTAGTAGAGATCCCCAACCTCTATACTCCTTCACCGCTGCAATCCTGGAGAAAAATTATATTCATATATTTTAATGTATATATATACACGAAAAAAGCTAGAAGTAGCATGCCGTACGTTAGGGGGAGTAGAACACTAGCTAGCTAGCTAGCTAGCCTGGTACTACTACTGACTTATGCTGGAGTTCCTTGAAACTTCACAAATTAGGAAGCCACAGAGATCCAAATATAGCCAGACAGACTTACCTTCATTTCATACCATTATATATATATATATATATATATATAGATTCAGAAATATATATATCAGCAGAAAAGGAAAGGAAAACCCAGAAAAAAGGGTAAAGGCAAATCCAGTTTTTGTCGCCTTCACAATCACATATATATTTCTATATATAGAATAGAACAACCCTTCTGGCAGCAGTAGTACTGGAATTAATCCAAAATATAACACACCCATCTTCAACTTCAACAACATAATTAATTTTACCCTTATATATATAATAATAATAATATACCCGGCCATCCCAAAAGCTGCTGATCCATTCCATTCCATCCAAAAGTAGTAGTAGACTAGTTACCCTTATTTATTACCTTCTTCTTCTTCTTCTTCTGCTGGGAGAGGGAGAGGCTCAGATACTGGGATATTGTTTGTAGTTTTCGTCAAGCAGACGACGGTGGTGGTGGCAGCGGTGAGCTGGTGGCGGAAGCGTCAGGGATTTGGAGCTTGGCGGATTTGGCCCTCTTGCGCTTCTTCTCGTAGCTTACCCCTCTGGCCTTGGCCTGGAAGTCCCGGACCTCCCTGAGGAAGATCCTGACGGCCCGAGTTCCGAATGGGTTGGACTCGGGCCTGCCTCCGTGCTCCTCGTAGGCGGCCCGGAGTCGGCCGATGAGGGCGTCGAGGGAGCCCCAGGCCTGGCGGAGAGGGCAAGGGCAGGGTGCCGGAGGGTTGGGGAGGCCGTAGAAAGGGCAGCTCTGGGAGTGGACTTTGGTCTTCCCGAACTGGTCCAGGTACCGCAGGAACTCCAGCACGTGGGCCCCGCTGCACATCGGCAGGCTCAGCGGCGGCCTGTGGTTCCGGAGGTACTGGCAGAACGTGTTCCAGTCCCTCCTCTTCTGGTTCTCGTACCGGCTGCTCGTCGCAGCCGCGGTGCCGCCTCCGCTGCTGGAAGGAGGCGGTGCGGTCATCATCACCAGCTGGCTGCCGGCGTGCATATCCATGGGTAAAAATTGAATTGGGTTGTTGTGCTTAGGTAGCTAGGTTAGGGCTTTTTGTTGTGGTGGGAAGAGGGACAGTGCTATTTTTGTTGCTTCTTCTGGTCACTGCTTGGTTTCTTTTTTAAGGGTAGAAGAAGGACAGCAGCAGCAGCAGGGATGGATAGATAGATAGCAAAGAGAGGCCTTTCGATTTAAAGATGGAAGCTGCAGGGAGAAGCAAAAGTGGGAATTTCTTGCATGGTAAAATGGGGTAAAGAAAAAAAAATTAAAAAGAAAGGAAGATGGATGATGGGATTTGTGAGGGAAGTGGGTGTACTACCTGATCAGTGATGAAGAGACCAGACGAGCTGTGAGAGAGAGAGAGAGGGAGATCTGGGGAGGTGGATGGAAGACTGCAGTTTAATTGGAGACTTTGGGGGAAGTAAGTAAGTAAACAGTAATGAAAGGTACTACTACTGCACCAAATATGCTCGACTGAGAGAGACAGAGAGAGAAGGGGAAGAGATTAGATTCAGACTCAGAGATTGTGTTCCCAGGAAAAGAGCATACAACACTCCAACTTCTTCTGGCTGCTGTTGCTGTTGCTATTTGATGATATAAAGTTTTGGAGAGGAAAATAATTGGACAAGGAAGGAAGGAAGGAAGGAGAGCGACACAAGGAGATAGAGATAGAGATAGAGAGAGGGGGTCAAGAGAAGAGAAGAGAAGAGAAGAGAAGATGGCTACTTATTCAACATTGACAAGAGGGAAGGGAAGGGAAGGGAAGGGAAGAAAGAGGGTCCCTCCCTCCCATGGCAATGCCCGCCTCTCCTCTCCAGTCTCCTCTGCTGCTGCTGCTGCCTTTTTCACTTTTTTTTTTCGTTTTCTTATGAAGTAAGTGGGTAAGGTAAGGTAAGGTAATTGAAGATTTAATTATTCCCTCGACTACGCAAACGCAATGCTAGCGTGTGAGCGTGTGGATTAAAAAAATCATACACACCATCAAACAAAATACCCATGCACATTGCCCTAAATACGTACTTCCCCTATTCCTACCATTTTTCTTATATATTTTACACATATGTATTAAGTAAAATAGCATAATAGTATTTATCTTTTTTTACTGAATAATAATGATTTGGAGGCCCTGTTCGAAAATTTAAAATGTGGCCCTAATTTTTTATCTCATAAATTTATCAAACTTAAAAATTAGTAAATAATTGTAAAAAAATACTTAAGTTCCGAAAAAGATTACATCAGGAATAAACGATCTCGTTTCCAGTTTGACCAAGAAACCAATATCGAATTCCCAGCCTTAGTAGGGAGGAAAGTAATTCTGGAAGTAAGAGAAAATGGATATAGCTCAAAAATTGAATGGAGAAATGAAAATAGTCTAAATTGATCGAGAGGTGGGTGCAGGGTTGTCTACTAGATCGTGGAGGCCCTATTTCAAAATCTAGACGTGGTCCAAATCGACCTTTAACTATAATAAAACTAAAATGATTATAATAACATTATTCAAAATGTAATATCTTTCTATATTGTTTAAATTAAAATTATCTATTATTTTTCAGATTTTCGTATTCTCCATGAGATCCTTTTCAATTGTTATTATAGCTAAAATTATCTATTAAACACATCATCATACTCATAATCAATCAATCATACACTAAAAATACAACCTACAATATACGATCGGTAACTAACGAATCTAAATAGAGGCCCCTAATATTCTGAGGCTCTGTGCCGGAGGGCGGGCCAGCACACCCTCTTGGCCGGCCCTGATTATCTTCATTAATTGGTTGTTTAGATTCTTGGTCGTTAATAAAATGGAGATCATTTTATATCTCATAATAAAATCATTTTATCTTTAAAAAAGATTAATTCACGTTAAAACAGAGAAGATACAAGTCAATTAAAAAAGTATGAAAATTTTATTTTTACCAATAGTTCTTACCCGACCCCCTCCAACGAGGGTCGTCACCGTTGGTGATGCCATAGTCGGTGACGGTCGCTCATGAGCTTCACTCTTTGGGATAGCACTGGATAATCGTATTGAGTACTATGAGGCTGAGTACGTTAATGTTTCACTACATCTATTGCGAAAGGTAGTGGAAGAGGACGCAAAGAGATGGGACACAGTCAGTCAGCCAGTTCTTGGTCACAAGTCACACGACTTTGTCAAATCAGGCAGCCATTAGTACGATATTGTCCGCTTTGGGCTAAGCCGGCACGGTTTTACTCTTGGGTGTCCTCCCCAAAAGGCCTCGTACTAATGAGCTTGGTGGACACTAATATACAAGGGTTCCTTCCCTTGTATTTTCGATGTGGTACTTGGATTGTCCCATAACAATCCTCTCCTCAAGCCAAGGACCACAGTTTTTGTGTCCTCTCATCAGCGATTATCTTAATCGGCCAGACACCTTGTATCGATGGGCTTCTCGCTACAAGGATTTTCCCAGAAGAGGAACTCTCTTTGATCCGCTAAACAAACGTAGATCTCTTCCACCAGCAGACACGGACCTCCCTCGATCCGCCAAACCAGATGTAGCCCAAACTTGGATCTCTCGTGGATCCACCAAACTCGATGCAGATCACAAATCCTGAGGCCACCAAATGAGGGTCCACCGAACTTACGTCCACCTCCCTATATCTGAACCAGGCTCTGATACCACTTGCCATAACTGGGCAACTCTATTAGTACGATATTGTCCGTTTTGGGTCAAGCCCGCACGGTTTTACTCTTGGGTGTCATCCCTAAAAGGCCTCGTACTAATTGGGCTAGGTGGACACTAATATACAAGGGTCCCTTCCCTTGTATTACCGAGGTGGTACTTGGATTGTCCCATAACAATCCTGCCCTCAAGACAAAGGACCACGAACTTCGTGTCCTCACCTAAGCGATTATCTTGATCCGCCAAACGCCTTGTATCGATGGCTTCTAGATACAAGGACTTTACCATACACAGAACTCTCTTTGATATGCTTCCCAAATGCGGAACTCTCTTTGATCCGCCAAGTCCAAACGTAGATCTCTCCTGGATCCACCAAACAGACGCGAATCACCTTTGACCCGCCAGACAAACGCAAATCTCAAATCCCGAGGTCAATGAATGAGGGTCCCATCAAACTGAAGTCCTCTTCCCCGAACCCGTCGAACCAGACTCTGATACCACTTGTCGAACCAGACCGCTCAATTAGTACGATATTTTCCGCTTTGGGCCAAGCCCGCACGGTTTTACTCGTGGGTGTCCTCCCCAAAAGGCCTCGTACTAATGAGCTTGGTGGACACTAATATACAAGGGTTCCTTCCCTTGTATATCTGTTGTGGTGCTTGGATTGTCCCATAACAATTAGTACATAGGACGCACCTCAGGAGGTCATAGCTACCTTGAAGCATATGTGATCACCTTCTTGTCCTGCATCAGTACACAACAAAATCCCTGGTAGGAAGCATCAATACTATAGATGGAATACTCCCCTCCACTGGTCGATAGTGCCAACACTGGTGCGGATGTCAACTTCTCCTTCAGTAACTCAAAAGATGCTTGACACTTTCATCCCAGATAAATGACTTCCCCTTCTGTAACAATTGAGTCATTGGCCTGGTAATGCTCGAGAAACCTTCCACAAACCTCTGGTAGTACCCCCGCTAAATCTAGGAAACTTCAAACTACAGCCACATTCTTGGGTGGAACCCAATTCATCATCACTTCGATCTTCTTGGGATTAACCTCTACTCCTCGTCCAGAGATGACATGTCCCAAAAACAAGACTTCTTCTAGCAAAAACTCACACTTGGAGAATTTGGCATACAATTCCTCCTCTTTCAACTTCTGCAAGACCAACCTCAAATGCCTCGCATGTTCTTCCCGACTCTCTAAGTAGATCAAGATGTCGTCAATGAAAATAATAACGAATTTATCCAAGTACTCATGAAGAACTCGGTTCATCAAGGCCATGAAGGCTGCTGAAGCATTGGTGAGTCCAAATGACATGACCAAAAACTCGTAGTGACCATATCGAGTATGGAAAGTCGTCTTAGGAATGGAACCGTCTGCCACCCTTAGCTGATGGTAGCCAAACGACAAATCAATCTTTGAGAATACCCTTGCTCTCGGAAGTTGTAAAGAGAAATTATAACCGTCACCACTTCGGGTGCTGCCTCTGCTTCCTCTCTCCTCATGGAAAAAATCTTTGTTTGTCCCCCTGCTGGAGTGCCCTGGTCTCGACTCCGAACATTGCTTTCAAACCGCCCAGTACTTCTCCTCTAGTTGTAAAAGGAACGGCTTGGTTGGCCGCCTAACTGAGGTCCTGGGTGAGTCCTCACTCCTCCACCTCAAACCGACTGCTCATACTGTGCTCTCCCTTACCCGCCACTCCTGGGGCACTCCCTTGTGAAATGACCTGACTCATTACAATAGTAGCAGACCCCCAAGTGCTGCTTGCATACCATGACATGGTCTCGCCCGCATTGGCTGCAGGGAGCCCTGTTGTTGAAGGTTTGACCAGGTCGAACCGAGCGGCTCTGACTCTGAGTATCCCCAAAATTAAAGGTGCCACTTGGCCTCCTCCTGAACTGACTAGACTGGAAAGCTCCCTCAGGCATGCTACTTGCCTTCCTCTTGCTATTCTCTCACTGCACCCCTTTCTCATGTAAGGTTGTCTCAACCCTCTCTATCTGAAAGGCTGCCTGATAAATTTCCTCCTTGTTGTTCCACATTAGCATGCTCAACTGCTTCTTAAGGGCATGCTTCAAACTCTCTCGCTGGGCGCCACCTTTTGGAATTGGGGTCCTCCGTAGGGCAGTAACTTCTCGAACCGCAAAGTATACTTCGCAACACCCTCATTGCCCTCATTTCCCCATCTTTTCTTGATGCCGGCTCTAATGCCAAAATGTAACAACCCAATGTTTTTCGAAAACCAAACCATAATTTAAATATAAAACCGATTACTCCAGAGCAACCCCAATCACATTTTAAAATCAAATCGAAAACCACCCAACGACAATATTCAGAAATCCCAAAACAAAAGTCCTAAAAATTTGGGCAAATCCCAATCCAAAATGCTTAAACGTAAACCTTGAGTTTCCCAGTATACTCATAAGACTAAAAAATAAAGACAATCATGATAAGGGTTCTCCTATCAATACCTTGAGCCCTCTGACATCTTCAAGTTTGACGTGGCTGACCTCCTTGATTAACCTCCTCGTACTCGTTACGTCCTCTTTCCCTTTCCACACCTGGTGAGTGAGAAGGGGTCAGTCTCGTTGTTACTTACTAAGGTCTTTACCTAAGCAGACCCTTACTGATACATTATTAGCAGTTGCTTTTCTCTTACATGAAAGTCGTTCTCGCTTTCATCCTTAATAATTTAGTCCTTAATAGCTTATAGAAGTTCTCTACTTCTATTTTAACTCATAACTCATTACTAGGTTTCACCGCGTTACATATCGCCGTCCGGTGTCCCTATCCTCAAGGCAATGGTACTGCGTTATGTATCGCCGTCCAGTCCATGCCTAGTCTACTACTGCGTTACGTATCACCGTCCCGTAATGACACGATATCCTCGATCAACTGCTGACTGCTGCCATACATATCGTCGTCCAGCAGTGATCCGACCATCTACCGCGTCCAGTAGTGGCCCAACCTCCTGGGGGTTCATCTTACCACCAACCACAAATTACAACCATACATTCGTTTATACATAGCACAACGCGTGCCTTGACCTTAAGTAGGCGGTGGGATGCCTCACACACATAATCGCGCAAACTCATAAATTAACTAGCATAATTTGAAATTAAAAACATATACTAAAAGACCTCGAATGAGATTTTATCCCCTTTACACTCACCTCGAAAAGATGATTCTCCGACCCTTAGCCCGAAGAATTGCTTCCTCAACGTACTACCTCGATACCCTATAAACCACACCACCTTCCTTTTTCTTATATAGCTTTGCCTACCGATAATTTTTAGAATAATGTAAACCTCTTGAAAGTTCCAATTCACAATTTTAGCTATTTTTTCATAAGCAA